AAACAGCTAAGACAAATGTTCAATTTCTTGTGAAGCACAGTAACTGTACTTGCAAATACTCCACATTTTTACTTTTTTTTCTTCCTTAGTAATGATACTAGGCTTTGACTAGCTAATTAAAAGAGAGAACTTCTGAGACTACGAGTGTATTGCTTAATTAATTGAAGTGTATAGACTGAGAAATAAGTATTGCAACTTTGTTTTATTTTAATCCCATATAGGATGGCCTTCTTCTCCAAGGTTATTCAGATTTCATAAACAGGATCCACAGTCAAATTCCTCAGATAACTTCAGATGGAAAGAGACTTCAGGTATCACATTTGTTAGCAGCTTTGGTTTGTTTTTTTGTGGTGGTTTGGGTTTCTTTGGGTTTTGGTTTTTGTGTGGTGTGCACTGCTTTCAGCTGTTGTCTGTTACATGGCATGGAGCTTGCTTCTTTGAAGTAGAGTTTGTTACACCTCTTGTCCAAAACTTAACATATTGTGGTTGGGTTCAGTAATTGCTGTCAATATGTATTTTTAGGATTCTAGATCTTGAAGCCCAGTATTTAGCAGTATTTAGTTAGATATAAACACATCTGAAAAAGAAGTTACTATGTGCATTGTGATTTCTAATGTTCTAATGATTCATCAGTTCCCAGTAATTCTGCTTTCTTCTTTTAAGGTGATTGGATTTTTGTAAGAGAATAGTTAAGTAACTTGTGTTTGACTCTTGTCAGGTGGGTGGTCCCTGTGCTGAGTGAATCCAGTCAGGGACTGTGTGCATTACACTGTTCAGCTACATAACGTCCTTCCAGTTCTACTCTGACCATTTTTGCTGAGAGAACTTGATCTCCAGTGGTATCCACATGGCTTTTTTTTTTTTTGTTCTCAGGTGATTGTGTGCTCTGCAACATTACATTCTTTTGATGTGAAAAAGCTATCTGAAAAGATCATGCATTTTCCCACTTGGGTTGATTTGAAAGGAGAAGATTCTGTCCCTGAAACTGTACACCATGTGGTTGTGCCTGTAAATCCAAAAGCTGACAAACTCTGGGAGAGGCTTGGCAAGAATCATATCAGAGTAAGTGGTCTAAAAGTGAAAAATTGAGATGATTTTCCCATGTTTACTTCTTTAGCTTTCAGAATTGAGACTTAATGTTGTAGGGTCGTTGACTGTTGACACAGCCAAGTGTATCTGGAAAGGTGTGTTCCATGGCAGTCAGCAGCAGGGAGCTGGTGATGTGGTAACACTGTTCCTGAACAGCTCATTCTTGCAAACTTGAGTGAGGAAGATCTTGATAGATGAACATTCTGATTTGTACTGGAGAATAATGGCACTACACTGCTTTTTCACTCCTTTCTTAGCTCATGGTCTGTGGCTTAGCTATAGTGAGTACCTGTCTGATAGGTCAGTAGGAGGTAGACCTCCCAGCATAGATGAGTCTGTCAAGTAGTTTTGTCTCTAACCTATGTGAGATGAGCAATTTTTAGAGGGATGGATTTCATCTCAAACTGCATTTGAGACTCTAGTTGAAATTCTACATTAATCTGACACCTATTCATGAGAAAAGGTGGTGGTTGATGTTCTTGAAGTCTTTAGGTTTTGTGTTCTGAGTAACTTGGGACTGTTTCATTCTCAGCAACTCTTAGCAGTTACAATCAGTAGGGTTTTTTTAACCTCTCCCTTTGTTAGATCTATTTAGAGCCTTTTCATTAAGTCTCTGCTTCTCTTGGGTTTTAGGCTGGTATCTGATTCAGCCTAGCAAGGGGAAATAGTTAAAGAGCAACTGTGTTTGTATGATTTATCCATGTTATAGTACATTGTTTTCAGATTTGCCATTTTGTTGGGGTTTTAATACATGACTTTGTTCAAAAGTGGTTTCTATTCAGTGTTTACAAAAATAATGTTATTCTCCTTTCAAGTTTTCTGTGCTTACACTCAAGACTTCTTGTTAGATAAAGCTAGATGAGCTTGCCTGGCGAGAGAGAAGAATGCTCAGGGTACTTTTAAAGTGTATTTATTTTCACACTAATTATAAGTTAATGGATTTAAGTGTTCCCTCTGTGGAGGGTGAGCTAATGACTTGGTTTTTTGTTTGTTTGTTTGTTTGTGTTTTTCCTAGACTGATGAAGTACATGCAAAAGACAACACCCGTCCTGGTGCTAACACTCCAGGTAACCAGCCCCCCCAGTTCACTAACAGCTTGTGAAAGAGAGTGAGAATTGGCCTTGAGTCACATTCCTCCACATGTGTATTTCTACATTTTTATCACTGTGAAGAGAAATGTTTCTGTAATGAGGGAGGAGAGAAAAAGACTTGAATATATATTTTGCAGGTGTGCAGACTGGCAGTTCTCAGTGTGTATTAGGAACCTGAAGTAGTTCTGTTCTTTCTGTATGATACTACATTGGAGCGTGATGGCAGAAGAAGAAACTGAAGGTCTAGCTCACTTGCTCTGCTAATAAAAGCATAACTGTCTATTGCAGGCTAGAAAAAATTTCAAATGTAAGCTGTTCAAAGGCTTTTTAAACAATTTGAGTGTAACCACTTCTTTATTTTTCCTTAGAGATGTGGTCTGAAGCTATTAAAATCCTAAAGGGAGAATACACCGTTCGTGCGATCAAAGAACACAAGATGGACCAAGCCATTATTTTCTGCAGGACTAAAATAGATTGTGATAATATGGAGCAGTACTTCATCCAGCAGGGTGGAGGTAGTATTTTTTTTTTTTTTTTCACAAAAACCTTATTCTACTCACTTTCCTGTTTATTTCAAAGCCGAAATTGTATGATAGAGGTCAGTCATAGTCAGACAGAAATAAAATTGTACTTCAGTTTTTTGCTACAGTGACTGGACATAAGTCAGGGCTTGGTAGCATGGACTGCAGGGGTGCCCTTTGTGGGAGGAGGCAGTAAACTGCCCTGTACCTCTTCTAGACTACTCTGAAATGGCTGGAAACAACCAACTGGGCACCAAAGTTTGAAACACTGAGAAGAGAGTGTGATGCCTCTGCTGAAAATCGTGTAAGAAAAAGTGATCATGGCTGGGGCAAGAGAGACAGGAGGAAACGTGTGTGCACAAAACTACACACGTAAGGGAACAAGAGGGAGAGACGTTAAAGAAGACACTAAAAGGGGATGTGTGAGGAGGAAGGTGAAGACATGTTTGGAGGAACAAGGGAAACTTTAGACTAGGAAGGAATGAAGAGACATGTCTGCACAGACCTCTTTTGGGGAGGGCAGAGGAAAGGTATTTGTCTTGTTTTTCCACAATGGTTGTATCAGTAATTAGAAGTCTATGTTAATTGGAAAGAAATGAAGTTCCCATGGCTTGAGACTTTGGCCCATAAAATGTGCTGTGTTCCAGTTCTGTGTAGTGTTTCAATGTACCTTAAATGTGATGTTATTAATGCATAGCCTCTCTTCCAGGCCCTGATAGGAAGGGACATCAGTTCTCATGTGTCTGCTTGCATGGTGACAGAAAACCTCAAGAAAGAAAGCAAAACCTGGAAAGATTTAAGGTGATGTAACAGATTCTTGAAGGCTTTTCCCTCGCTTCCTGATACCTGAAACCATATGTTATGTGCTGTTAGTTCTCCGTTTAAATTAAATTGCATTTAAATGCTCTGTGACCCACTTCCTAAAATTGTGAGGCACAATTTCAGCAGGTGTCAGTTAATAGGATCTTTGAGTCTTCTTTGAGAGGATAGGTGGACTTCCTTTTAAGTAAAACCTGAATCTAAGGTCTGTAGCAATTGCATTGTTTTTAAAGTCTCTGGTTCTTAAATATTAAAAATTATTTAAATATTAGAGAGTTTGCTTTTGATTAAGCCATTCATTGTTTTGTAATTGCCTCATGCTGTTGGGGAAAGAAATAAGGATTGTAAACTTACAAAGATGTTCATGTTGAAGAGCTTTATTGGAAGTATTCCTCAATGCACAGAGGCACTTGAAGTCCATGTGAAGGACAAGTGTTGCACTGCTTGGGTTTCTGTTGGGTGTATCTGGCACAAACCTTCCCAACTCTGTTTTTGGTAGCGAGGAGACGTCCGCTTCCTGATCTGCACAGACGTGGCTGCCAGAGGGATTGATATCCATGGGGTTCCTTATGGTAAGATAGAACTTCCATCCTGAGCTGTTGAGTTGCATACAGCTTCAAGGCATTTGCAGTACTGTCGAATAGTTGAAACAGGTGTCTGATTTACAGCTTTATTCTAAAAGTTGTAGACGCTAAAGGCTTGAACTAGGCAACTTTTCATTTGCTTGCTCACCACACCTTCTCCAACACCTAATGATTTTCAGCATGGCTGGGAATTCTTCACTTATTTTCCTACTCTTGTGAAACAGTAGTCATGGAAAAAGCAGCTTTATAGTGAAAAGTCTTTAAGTGTGAGTGCTGCAGGTAATGACACCTGTCACTGCTGTAATAGAGCATAAAGTATGTACATGGGCTAAGGAGATGGATTGTGATATCAAAATCATAGTTAATTTAGCTGTCAGGCATGTGACTTAGCTCATTTATTTAAAAAAATGAAACCTCTGTTGTTTGTATCTTACCCAGTTATCAATGTCACACTCCCTGATGAAAAACAGAACTATGTTCATCGGATTGGGAGAGTAGGCAGAGCTGAGAGGTATGTGTGTGTGTGTGCTCAGAGTAGCTCCATGTTTTGTTTTCTTTTGTTGTTGTTTTGTAAATTGCCAACAGTTACTGAAATACATTTTGTCTCTTCTCCCCTAATATTTCAGGATGGGTTTGGCAATCTCACTTGTGGCCAAAGAGAAAGAAAAGGTAACTACTCCAGAGCAAAACTGAACAGAGAGGAGTTGCTGAAGCTCTAACCACAGCTGCTGGCTGACTTCAGTATCCTGTATTGGAAACCTGCATGCTTAATCATGCTTAATTGAAAGGGAATTTACATATTTGGATTCTTGTTCATGTTATATAGTTAATCAAAATTAATATACTGAACTGTATTTCACAAGGTTGAGAAGTTGCTTTCCTTTCCTTGTAGGTTTGGTACCACGTGTGCAGTAGTCGTGGAAAAGGGTGTTACAATACTAGGCTGAAGGAAGAAGGAGGTTGTACCATCTGGTACAATGAGATGCAGGTAAACACTTTGCTTAAGCAAAGTCATAGTTCTTGTTGTAGCTGTGTGGATGAAGTACAAAAGTATACATTTGGCTGTGTTTACAACCTTGGAAATAATTTGAGGAAAGCAGTGAACTTTTGCAAGTTATGCTTTATATAAGTTATCTCTCTCATTATAAAGCTAATGTTAATATTCCCAGCCACTTCTGCTGGAGTCTTGCTTTCAGCTTCTC